AGTGTTTAAAGACTGGCTTCTACCATCTCAAAAACATTGCCAGACTCCGGCCTTCACTCTCTGACTCTGTGGCAGAAACACTTGTACACGCCTTCACATCCCGTCTGGACTACAGCTATGGAGTCCTGTCCGGGGTTCCCAGCAAAACCCCGGACAGGCTCCAATACGTCCAGAACTCTGCCGCCAGGCTTCTCACCCGCACCAAGCCATGGCAACACATCACCCCCACCCTCATCCACCTCCACTGGCTGCCGGTCAAGTCCCGGATTCAGTACAAAACACCCCTCCTCACATACAAGTCCCTCCATACCCTCGCCCCCCAGTACTTATCGGACCTCCTCCATCCCTAAACCCCTTCTACGGAGTCTGCGGTCCTCAGACACGGGCCTGCTCACCATCCCCCGCTCTCGCCTCCGAACTGTTGGTGACAGGGCGTTCAGTGTTGCGGCCCCCACCCTCTGGAATGCACTTCCTGCCGAGATCCGTAATGCTGCCTCCCTGGACATCTTCAAACCATCATTAAAAACACACCTGCTCACCCTGGCCTTCGGGCCCTAGCCCTTTCTTGGTCCCCCGGCTTCCTTTATTTTTTGTTTGCTCTTTGATTGCCTGTTTGTTTTGTTTGTCCACCATGTACAGCGACCTTGGGTCCCTTGAAAGGCGCTATATAAATATCATTTATTATTATTAATGGAAAATAAAATGTGAACAGACTTGGACAGTTACAGAAAACCTCCATCAGTGCTGCCGTCATTTTAATTAATATCGGTATTCTTTTTTCATTATTGACCGCCTCTCTAACGTAACGTCTCTGAGTGACCGTCCGACCGTACCTTTGAGGTGGGTGATTTCTCCTTCTTTAGCCTGGTTCAGTTTCTCGTAGTGCTCTTTGTGTTCGTCCAGCAGCCGATTGTGGTCGTCGCCCTCAACCTGGTGCTGCTCCTGAAGACCGTAATACTGCTTCTTCAGGTCGTCATGCTGGTTCTGACAGAGAGGGAATGAGCTATATTTTTTGTGTATCCATATTTTCAGTGATTTTCATCATGAAATGCTTGTTTTGCACATTGCTAAAAACTACTTAAAATTAAAATGTCACAATGCGTATCATTGTTTCAATTCAGTAAAGTAAGCCATATATTAAGTAAGTCATTATTTTTTTTACTCATAATCTACGACTACCAACCGGCAGTTTGTTAGCTAAGCTTATCACAAAGATAAGAAGCAAACAACTAGCTTTTAAACTCTGTACTAAGGACATAGATATTGAGAGGAAGGATGTGGTTTGACAAGGACAGACATGGTGTTCATACAAAGGGTGACAGGAAGAAAGAAAAACGAGTAACTGAAAGTGTTATAATGTGTTTGTGTATGAAGGGTGATAATAATAATGTATACCTTTAGCATCTGATGTTGGACATGTAGAGAATTGAATCTGCCGTTGAATTCTTGCTGTAAGAGCATAAAAACAACAAGAAAAGTTATGAAAAAGAATTACCACTTCTGCAGTTATTGAAAAACCTACCAAACTATTTGTTTTCTCACAAAATATTATGGTGAAGAGGTGAAGTATAGCCAAAAGTAGCATCAGTATTCAACAACACAAAGCAATGTGAGTAGACAGGTGATAAGAGACGGATACATTTATATAAAGTTATTAATGATTATATACATGTATACTCATATTACAGAAGGTAATCGTGTGTCAAAAATACCTTCTCCTTGTTCAGTGACTGTTGTGTGTCCAGTTTATAAACCAGATAATCTAAAAAGACAAAAAACAGCCATTTTTAGTACATTTTCTTCAATTTTATGGAAAATAATGCTTAAGAAATAACTTGTCTTAAATGAAAACCATGATGCAGACTCAAATACAAATCATTATGATGTCCTGTAGTCTCCATAAAAACCAAAACACTTATTTTCATTTATACTTAAAGGTGCTCTATTATTCAAGTGTTCAGGTTCATATTTGTATTTTGTACCTTTGTGTTTTACTTCCTGTCTCTGTGTATTCATGCCTGTTTAACTTGTATGATCGTGTTCACCTGCTGCCTTTATGTTTTGCCGGCCCTCTCCAGCTGTGTCTTGTCAGTGTGATTGCTATAGGTTTAGACTGTCGGGGGACACCTTACTTCTTCCTTCTGTCTGTCTGTACCTGTGTACTCTCATGTTCCGAATAACCCAGCTTCCCCCAAATTTCTTTTTGGAGTCTATATCTACGCTGGGATCCTTAGTCGCGGCTTATCCTGTTGCTGTGTTCCTGAGTCCTGGATCCTCTATCCTGAGTCGTGGACTTCGAGTCGTGGCTGAACCTGTCTCTGCGGTCCTGCCTGACTCTCATCATACTACTTCCCTGATGGCTCCCACAGGATTGCTGACATCCTCATGGATTCATCTTCTTATTATACACACATGCATTTCCAAACATTTGGTCTACCTATGTTGTAAATGTATTATCTTTTTGATTTACACACGGCATCTATTGCACGTCTGTCCGTCCTGGGAGAGGGATCCCTCCTCTGTTGCTCTCCCTGAGGTTTCTCCCATGTTCCCCTTTAAACTGTAGGGTTTTTCCTTTTTTAGAAGTTTTTCCTTGTACGATGTGAGGGTCTAAGGACAGAGGGTGTCGTATTGTCATACTGATATTCTGTACAAACTGTGAAGTCCACTGAGACAAATGTAACATTGGATTGATTGATTAGAGTATATATGCCTCTCTCCCCTGTGTTCTCTGTCAGTTTGTTGTCGATGTTTCCCCGTGCGGTTCTTGTTTCCTGTCTCCGTCTAATTCCTGGTTCTCCTGTGTGCCTTCCTGGTTTTGCTACCCTTGTTCCTCAAGTCTTCCTTTATTGTTTTTCGTTTTGTTTTGCTGTTTTATTTCGTTATGTTTCACATGTTTTTTTGTACCAGCATGATTTTAAATAAGCTCGTTTTTTTGTTATTTAAACCTTTCTTTTACCGGTTTACAAACCCTTTTAATGGTCCGGACCGTCTTATCTCAATTTTTTATTCAGTAGGTGAATCTATGGGTGTTTCTCAATGTCGAGGACGCTTGCTTGGTAGCACATGTACATCCGAGTGAGTTCCTTCAGAAGCGAGGCAAGAATACTTCCTAGCCTCGGAAAACGAAGAATGGAACAGGCTAGCAAGTATTCATATGAGAGGCCCCGCCTTACATTTTCC